AAGGAAGGAATTGGCAAAGGAGAGAACAGAAGAGAAGAAGGGTATGAGAAGAAAGGAAGAGAAGAGAAGAGAAGAGAAGAGAAGAGAAGAGAAGAGAAGAGAAGAGGAAGGAGAGGTAGCAGGTAGAAGAGGAAGGAAGGGAAGGAAGGAAGGAAGGGAGGAAGGAAGGAAGGAAGGAAGGAAGGAAGGAAGGAAGGAAGGAAGGAAGGAAGGAAGGAAGGAAGGAAAGAAGGAAGGAAGGAAGGAAGGAATGGAAGGAAGGAAGAAGAGATGGGAGAGACAGGAAAGGAGAAGAGATAGAAGAGGAAGGAAGCAAGGAAGGAAGGAATGGACAAAGGAGAGAACAGAGGAAAAGAAGGGTAAGAGAAGAAAGTAAGAGAAGAGAAGAGAAGAAAGGAAGAAAAGAGGAAGGAGAGGTAGCAGGTAGAAGAGGAAGGAAGGAAGGAAGGAAGGAAGGAAGGAAGGAAGGAAGGAAGGAAGAAGAGATGGGAGAGACGGGAAAGGAGAAGAGATAGAAGAGGAAGGAAGCAAGGAAGGAAGGAATGGACAAAGAGAACAGAAGAAAATAAGGGTAAGAGAAGAAAGGAAGAGAAGAGAAGAGAAGAAAGGAAGAGAAGAAGGAGAGGTAGCAGGTAGAAGAGGAAGGAAGGAAGGAAGGAATGTACAAAGGAGAGAACAGAAGAAACGAAGGGTAAGAGAAGAAAGTAAGAGAAGAGAAGAGAAAGGAGAGGTAGCAGGTAGAAGAGGAAGGAAGGAAGAAAGGAAGGAAGGAAGGAAGGAAGGAAGGAAGGAAGGAAGGAAGGAAGGAAGGAAGGAAGGAAGGAAGGAAATTAGTTTCCAATTCCACTAAAAGGACAGAAGGCACATGTTGACCTCCAGACCTAAATATTAAACAGAGACTGGCTGGCTGGAGAATTCTGGGAGTTGAAGTCCACAAGCCTTAAAGTTGCCAAGTTTGGGGACTCCTGTCCTAGGGTTTCTCTCCTTTTTCTTTCCAGCAGCAGCAGTTCCAACATCTGTCCCATCAGGCCCCTCCAGTTCCTTTGACCCCACACCCTTCGGGATCTCAGGCTTCTAGCTTGGCTGCGGTCAGCACCACGGCTTCTGGGCTTCTGGCCCTCTCGGGGATGTTGGGAGCCCAGAGCACGCTGGGGTCCAAGCAAGAAAACTCCGGGCAGGACTCCGAAAACAATCAAGGTAAGAGGGAAAGGAGCGTCATCACTTGAGACACTCGAGAAGAGATTGGACTGCCATTTGTCAGAAATGGTATAGGGTCTCCTGCTTGGGCAGGGGGTGGGGTTGGACTAGATAACCTACAAGGTCCCTTCCAACTCTTGATTATCTGTTAAATCTGCAAGTTGGGATTGGTGGGTGGGCTGAGAAGGCGTCTCGTCTCCCTGGTTGGATTTGCAAGCTGTCCATCAGAAGGGGGGGCAGGCGCTTAAAAAATAACAGAACAGCGCTTTCCCCATTTGTGGTGGGGGATATTTGCATAGCCCCGCACTAGGGTGAGGGTTACAATAACCCATCACTCTCATTTGCCTGCCTCCTCTCCCGCTGATCTCTGCTTGTGGCAACATTCACACATGACACTATGCTGGCTTAAGGCCACCCAGAGTCACTGGAAGTTGGGGAAATACAGGCAACGTAACAAATAATAGTTATTGGAAATGGTGTCGTTTGGTTGGTACAACCTATCGATAATTGAAATGTGTGGTGTGTTATTCAGGCTATGGTTTGTCCTCAACTTATGACTACAATCGGAGCCAGAATTTCTGTGGCTAAATAAAGCGGTTGTTGAGTGACTTGGACCTGATTTTATGATTCCCCCCGCACTCCATGGTTGTTAATGAATCACTGCAGTTGTTAAGTGAATCAAGTAGTCGTTAAGCAAATCCCGATTCCCCCATTGACTTCACTTGCAGGAATCTTAGGTTGAGAAGGTTGCAAATGATGATCCTGTCTCTGTTTTTTAATATTTAGGCCTGGAGGTCAACATGTGCCTTCTGTACTTTTAGTGGAATTGGAAACTAATTTCCTTCCTTCCTTCCATCCATCCCTTTCTTCTTTCCTTCTTTCTTTCCTTCCATCCTTCCTTCCTTCCTTCCATCCCTCCCTTCCTCTTCTGCTACCTCTCCCTCCTCTTCTCTTCCTTTCTTCTCATATTCTTCTTCTCTTCTGTTGTCTCCTTTGTCCATTCCTTCCGTCAGATGGTGCTCCATTCAAAATCCAATAAATAAATACTTAGACTCCCTTAATTAGAGAAAAGATATATTTTACTGGAAGTCAAGTGGTAGCAACAAAAGAATTCTGAATCTGAGAAAATGTGCGGGCAAATCACGTATACAAAGTGATGGCAACATTCCCACCCCAATAGTTCAATTGGCTCATCCAATTAAAAGTTGTGTATATCATCATGTGGGCACCTCCAGGTGGTGATGAGGCCTCTGTCCGTTGACCTTGACATATTTTGATAAAGAATTGCGGCTGCACATAGGATAGAAGCCTAAGCAAGAATCTCCCCCACCCAACTTATACAGTTCTGTTTTGTAACACCTCCAGCTCGCTTCCCATAACCATGTCCCCCCCTCCTCCCCCC